ACAAAGTCTTCTCACGCAGCACAGTCAGGTGGATGACAACACTTAGGGCTCGTTCACACTTGACTTTATTTCTAACTCTTGCCAAATTCCCCTTTAGCATTTGACAGGCGTTAGGCATTTGGGAAGCGTTTTTAGCACTCATCAAACACTCCCCAAATGCCCTATGCGTGGTTTTGAGGCGGTTGATAAGCGTTTGTCGAGCGTTAAAACTGCACCACAAACATATAATGCCTATAATGAAGTTAAATGGTATTAACACTCCGCAAACGACTTGCAAACGCCTCGCAAGCGCCTACCAGACGTTTGAGGAGCGGCACCATAGACTTGAATGGGAGGTTTCAACTCCTCCTGACTCACCAAGACGAATCAGTTTTGTGACACTAACGCTTCAGTGTGAACAGCACTGTGTGCTGCCATGTGCAGACTTTTCATAGGTGCTTGAGAAGCGTTAAAACACTTCCCAAACGCCTGTCTGACGCCTGCTGACAAAGCTAGTGTGAACAGTTAAGAAATGCAGTGGTGACCTCTCTAACTTGACAGAGACAGAGCAGTAGCAGACTGATGAAGTCATCCCACTGCTCTTTCTTCCTATCAGCACATTCCTTTTCAACACATTTTTATGCCACAAACCTGATTGTCACTCAGTACTGCCTCACCCAGTCTAAGTGCTGCTTACATGGCATTGCAAGAGGCCAATACCAAGTCAAATTCAAGTACTTACACTATACTTACACTTACTACTTACACACAGACTGTAGGATAAAAAAAAGTCCCCCAGGAAGTTTGAGGAAAAAAAAGTAGCTCTAGCTGCAATACTCACCTCCACTTGGGCACTGACACCCTTAGTAATCTCTGTTTGCCACTAGATATCCTCAGTCTTCCAGGTTCAGTGACACACAGAGTCATTCAACTTGGAAGACCAAAGACATCTTGGTCACTCCCCCTCTCCCTTTAGGGCCTTGAGGGGGTGTCAGTATTGCGCCCTACCAGGGGCGGACTGACAACTCATGGGACCCCCCGGGCAATAGGGGATCATGGGGCCCCTGTGTCCTTGCCCAAACTCAAAAAAAGCCTATGAAAAAGGTACCAGGGGCATCTCATAGGGCCCCCTACTGACCCCGGGCCCTCGGGCAGTGCCTGAGTTTCCAAATGGTCAGTCCGCCCCTGCACCCTACACTCACCATGTGATGATGCAGAGAGCAGTGCTGAAGTCATCAGGCACTTGCCCTAAAGAAGACTGCCTACCACAGGGAGAAGTGGCAACAAAAGAACAGGGCCCTACAGGTCAGGTGACTTGCTTGAAGACGTATGAAAAAGCTAAGTATTAAAACCAAAAAGCACAAAATATTGGTGGGCCTCCAGGGAGGAGGGGACAAGTGGCAGGTGTGGGGCACAGCCCAGAGTTGGACTTTAATGATGTCTTAATGAATACAGTACATGGCTGCAATAATTGTTGGCTTGTATAGCTAGGTGGGGATCAGATTTGATAACTCTATATAAAGTAAACAGTTAAAGTGATTCTAAAGGTCGCAAGGCTTGTAAAGGTTGTAAAGGTTTTTTTTCTTAAAATAACAAGCATGTTATAATTGCCTGCTCTATGAAATGGTTTTGCACAGAACAGCCCCATTCCTTTTCTTTTTGTGTTTTTGGGTCCCCTGCTGGCAGTCCTGGCCTCTTGCTATGGGGAGGACTTGAAGAGGCTTGCCCACGAGCCACGCTCCTGTTAATGGACATTGTCCATTCACACACAGAGAGCATCTCGGCCCTGCCCCGAATCTCTCCTCATTGGCTCACTGGCTGTAATTGACAGCAGCAAGAGACAATGGCTCCCTCTGCTGTGTGAGCTAATGTGGAGGGAGAGACCCAACAGAGCCACTACTCTCATGCACTTTGTTGGATCGAGATGGGGCTCAGGAAGGGGGGGGCTCGGAGAGGGGCTGCACCCAGAAGGTTTTTTACCTTAATACATAAAATGCATTAAGGTCAAAAATCTTCTGCCTTTAGAACCACTTTAACTGACATCTAATTGTTATTGTATGTCCATACACTGGCAGAAAACAGTAAAAATAGACATACTACTAGTACTTTTATCTGGAGTTTATTGTGTGTTAGTGTTGTGAAGACACTCTGTTCTGTCAAAGAGCATTGCTTGAAGTCATAGCCCCATGGTCATGTTATTATCCAGTCAGTTTATTCCAGGACTCCACTCCTGGGAAAGGAGCAGACAGCTCAGTAACCCGAACCAAAGATGTCAGGAAGAAGCCCTGGAAATAAATAGCAACCCAAAGGTGACACGCAAAACAAAGCAAAACTATCTAATAATGAGCAATGAAACTGCTGAATGAGCTTTTCTAAAATTCTAGTGCTGGCGACAGTAGACCCCTTTACGCATCCAACAAAGGAGAACAAGAGCTGCAAAACAAGGCCTTAATTACCCCCATCAGTCTCTGAGACAAGGCGCTTAAGAGTTTTAGCTGCAGTAAACAGTCCCCTGATAGCAGATAAGGAATGTGCTGAGTGAAGGTTTTGTGTGGGGGAACCTTAGGGGTAAAACTGTTAATCATAAATGCAAGGTGATGGTGTGGCTTCAGCCATGCTTCAAAGTGTCAGGTTTTCTCCTGAAATAAGTCTGAAATATAGGTTATTGCTGACATGAGTGGGAATTGCTTCTAAACAGATATCAAATCATCTCTGCCGTTGTATCCTGGAATATTCAACGCACTTTATGTGAAATAATACTGTTTATACTACGTGCATTATGATCCACATTTCTATGATTTCCCTTGAATTATTCTAACCGCATTAATAGCATTATGAATTTGTCTATTTAAAAAATGAAACTAACACAATTGGTTCTTGTTAAATTTAAATATGGGAATTTTTTTTACAATATTCTATTATTTATCTCTTTAATTGCATATATGCTTGCTTTTTTGTTGAAGATTATTTTCTTGCATGTCTATATGCTGTTGCCCCAAAATGGTACACACAGATTGCTAGACATGGGTCTGCAATATACACTCTAGGACATAAAACTACTTAAAAACTCCAGAATATTATATATTTTTTGAAAGCAGAAGCCCTGTCAAATAAAAAGGTGGTTGTTGCAGTTTTTTTTATTTTGCCCGATATTTGTAAAACTTTTTTCAAACTCATATTTTTAGGAAAAAATATGTTACAATGAATTTTATTGCAAACAAACACAATATAATACCAAGGTTTTTGGTGGAAAAAAAAATTAAAAAAGGGGTTATGCTTAGTAAGTAGATACCAAATATGTCAACTGTGACCCATATACAGAAACTTGGAGCACTGCAAAAAGTACTGCAAAACTTTCCCCTGCCGTCCAAAGCCCAGATTAGGTGCTGACTTTCAAATAAGCTAATTCAGGCTAGCTGAAACACATAGTGATGCAGAAGGTGGAAATGTCGCACACCAGAACCCAGCCAATGTAAAGAGAGGTAAATATATGGTTCAGCCTCCTCCTCCTGGATATGTTGCTCTGACATGTTTTCCCCCGCCTACAGGACTTAATCATAGAGGTAGGTAAGGCAAAACATGTCAGAGGAGCATGCCCAGGAGGAGTTCATGCCGAAGCCATATCTTTACTTCTCTAAATAGTGGCTGAGTTCTGGTGTGCGACGTTTCCATCTTCTGTCTTCCAACCAAATATATCAAGGCTTAAAATTTCATGGGTCTATGATACCACAAAAACAAAGGCACCTAATATATCCCATAGGCAACACTTTAACAAGCTTTTACAGCTCATCAGTTTTGAGTTAACCATGAATTATAGCCCTAGAATTATTGCACTCACTTTAACATTCACAGTGATACCTGTGTGTGCACTTTTATTTATAGGTGCATACAGGGCGATTGCTACAATTATTTTGTTTATTTTTGTTTATTATTACATTTTATTAAACCTTTTACAAGTCTGCCATGTGATAGCATTGTGCAGGTGACAGGTACTCTTCATGGAGATATCAGGGGTCTATTAGACCCCCAAGGTCTGCCTTGCCCTCCATTGGAGCTAATCAAGCATAGATTGTGCTTGATTATGAGAGGAGAAGAGCATATAAGAGGAGCCTGTACAAATGAAGGTAAGGCTGGAGTTTAGGTTTATCATGGCACTCTGCACTCAGAGAGGGAGGATTTATTAAAATAAAAGTTCACTAAAAGTACACAGCTCCAAAGGTTAACAGCAATTTAGAAAAAAGAGGGAGTCAAAAGTGCAATGTATTTTATTATTTATCCTATTGCTTTTGGACACCAAAACAATGGTACATCACAATTCTAATTACCGTATATTCTGGCGTATAAGACGACTTTTTGACCCTTGAAAATCTTCTCAAAAGTCGGGGGTCGTCTTATATGCCGGTATACGTCAGGGCGGCACTTTTTAGGGGGGCGGCGCGGTGCCGCCGTCCCCTCCTTCCAACGGAAGGGACACTAAGTACAGGGGTGGGCAGAGAGCTGCTGTCTCTTACCTGGCTCCCACGACGATGCATCCAGGAAGCGCTGCTGATTCAGTCACTCCGGCTCCGCCTCCTCACCGGTGATTGACCGCCACAACTGTAGCTCAGGAAAGGCACACAGGCGGCCAATCACGGGCGAGGAGGCGGAGCCAAGCCGACCTGCGAAAATCGAGTGAGGGAGCAGCCGGTAAGTGTGCAGTGCAGAGGTGCTGCTGCAACCACATATGCTGGCTGCATCAGCACCATACTGGAACAGGAGTCAGCAAGTGTCATTGGTGTCAGTGGGAGGAATAGTGCCCCATCATTGGTGTCACTGATACTAATGATGGGGCATTATTCCTCCCACTGACACCAATGATGGGGCACTATTCCTCCCATTGACACCAACGATGGGGCACTATTCCTCCCACTGACACCAACGATGGGGCACTATTCCTCCCACTGACACCAACGATGGGGCACTATTCCTCCCCCCACTGACACCAACGATGGGGCACTATTCCTCTCCCCACTGACGGGGTACTATTCCGCCCACTGACACCAATGTTGGGACACTATTCCTCCCACTGACACCAATGATGGGGCACTATTCCTCCCACTGACACCAATGATGAGGCGCTATTCCTCCTACTGACACCAATGATGGGGCGCTATTCCTCCCACTGACACCAATGATGGGGCGCTATTCCTCCCACTGACACCAATGATGGGGCACGATTCTTCCCACTGACACCAATGATAGGGTGCTATTCCTCCCACTGACACCAATGATGGGGCACTGTTCCTCCCATTGACACCAATGATGAGCCCCATCATTTCCTCCCAGTGTGTGACCAATAGGTGCCCATCATTAGTGTCAGTGGGAGGAATAGTGTCCCATCATTAGTGTCAGAGCGAGGAATCGTGCCCCATCATTGGTGTCAGAGCGAGGAATCGTGCTCCATCATTGGTGTCAGAGTGAAGAATCGTGCCCCATCATTGGTGTCAGTGGGAGGAATAGCATCCCATCATTGGTGTCCGTGGGAGGAATGATTTGTATTAATAATGTAAGGGGCATTGTACTTAGAGCAGTTAATCCAATATTTATTGTTGTATATGAGAGGATATCCATAAGCATGGATTTTATTACTAATTGTAATCGTTCTGCTGTTGTCCATTATTTTTACCCCCCCCCCCCTTTCATCATAAGCTAATAGTTGTGATCCATAAGTCGTGAAATCAATCACTGTTGAGTAGACAATATATGAAAATTAACACTAGTGGTTCAGTAGAACATTTTTGCTATGCCTGGGGGCTACTTTAAATAAGGTATCTCCAAACTTTCTAAAGAAAGGGCCAGTTTATTGTCCTTCAGACTTTAGGGAGGGGTGGACTGTGGCCAGCAGTAGTGGAATATTTCCTGGCATTCGTGAGAATAAACATCACCACATTTGGTATTAGGTGGAAGAATAATGTCCCATTGTTGGTGCTAGTGGGAGAAATGGTGTCCCACTGTTGATGACAATTGGCAGAATAGTGTCTAACAGTGGGAGGAAGAGTGTCCTAGGGGCCGGGTAAAAGCAAGCCAAGGGCTGCAGTTTGGAGACCACTGATGTAAGTCCAAAATCTGCACTAGTCACAAATTTAAAGCAACCCTCATGTAGTGGTAACATGACAATGTGAGCTCCAACTCATACTTCCAAACCCATAGAAAAGCACGCACTTGAACACTAATTTTGTTCAAGACCTGCCTTACCATCTTCTAAGCCTACAAGTTTTCATCATGACCTAGTATTCACAGCTAAGCAGACTGCATGACTGAAATTTAGTCACACACTGGGAGTGGTTATCATTACCATAGATGTCTCTTTGGGTGAAGGGTTTAGTGTCAAGTGTGGCTTTGCTTGGGCCAATACAGCCTGGTCATCTAATGATCAAGGCAACTCTTTCTAAAAAACAGACCTGACTTGACATTCACAGGGAAATGTACCAGGACATCATCCTGGTTTAAAAGGCACAACTGGTAGTGATTCCAGATTCAGAACAAAGGCAGAAGACAATACTGCTCTGATCTCTGTAAATACTGTATATCTTAGTAGAACATAATAGCATTAATGACGGACATTTTTTTTTTCACAGGAAGTAAAAGTTCCCTGTGTGAGAAGCACATAGTGATTTGGTTAGAAGTGACCCATGGTGAATTTACACTCCACTATAAGCTATATAATATGCTCTTTTGTCCTTGCCTATCTGTTGTTTTATGTAAATACGGCTGAAAGATATAGGAGAAATCAATGAGACAATTAGAGCTGCTTTGAAGGAAATGGAGGACAAATTATAGCAAGGAATGCTATTCAAAGGACATTGGGTTGCACATTGTCTCATTCATATAGCATAACTGAATGAAGGTGCACACGCGTGCAGATAATGTGCAGTGAATAATTCTGTTCCTTAACCTGTATACAGGCTGCTACTAACTATTCAGAATAACATGTTTTCCTTACTTTATGGGAACACATTTTTTTTTAACTGCCTAGTCTTATGTTGTTATAGAATGGTACATATGAGTTGAGGGTATAGCCTACAAATTGAAGTGGTTGTAAACATTTTTTATTTTTTTTATTAAAATCAACATATCATACTTACCTGCTCTGTGAAATGCTTTTGCACAGAGCAGCCCCTATCCTCCTCTTCTCGGGATCCCCGCCATCACTGCTGGTCCCCCCCCCAAGTTTCTCCAAGCCACTTGCTATGGGGGAACTCATGCATGCTTGCTCCTGAGCCAGTTCTAAGTGTCCAGAAGACGCACAGAGCATTACTTGGCTCTGTCTCCCACTCCCTTCTCACTGGCTGTGATTGACAACAGCAGGAGCCAATGGCTCCCACTTCTGTGCCTTAGCCAATAAGGATAGAGAGTGCTGAAAGAGCCTCTGCTCTTGTGCACATAATTGAAAATAGATATTGGGCTCGGACAAGTATAAGGGGGGGGGGGGGGGCAGGGAGGGAGCTGCACACTGAATGTTTTTTACCTTTATGCATAGAATGCATAAAGGTAAAAAACCTTCAGCCTTTAGACCACTTTAAGGCCAGCTCAGATCACAAAGAACAGTGGCACATTAGTGTCATAACTCCAATTTATGCGACCCTTACACTGGTAACTTGCTGCTTTCATTAAAGGCTTTATAGACTGATATTTAGCCTTGTCACAGAACGATTGTGAAATAGTCTTCTGACGTGCTTGACTATGCATCATCTATCATTTAGACTTGGAGATCTGTTGGGTACTGTTTAAAGTTGGTACATATACAATGGTTGTATTCCCCAGCCAAAGATACACCGCACTATAAAATTAACAACATGGAATGAGCTCTAAATCAGTTAATGGATCCAGTAATGGATCAGAATAAACATTCTGAATCTACATATACCACTACTGTTATTAGATAGGCTTTTCAGATTCTTGCAAAACATCTGCAATCAACTTGGAAAAGAGTTATCGGGAAGAGACACATTTAAATAAAGACTTAAATGTGGAGCCAGTATATCAATAAGATGAACAAAGTCTGTATTTTTCGGTTTGATAGGTCTACATGTCGAGCCAGCCAAAGATGCTTCAACAATAAAACTCAGACAAGGCAACATGCCAGCTGTAAAGAGAAATAACATCATGGAGCTGGTTTACTAAAAGATTAGAATAGTACCTTTCCACAATCTTCAACTACCCAATCATATGCACTTGAATTTAAAAAAATTCAATCTCCCTTGGAAATACCTATTTTGTGAATGGATGATTGTGATTGCACTTTCACAGGGTTAAGTAAATATTCTACTCTTTTAGTAAATACACTTTCTTGCTAACAAATGTTACTCTAATACCAGATAATACATATTAGGATTCCCCTAGTGGTTACTGTAGGTGCTATAACAAATATATGACCTTTCAAATTATCATTTAAAACCATCTGACCCACTCTGCAGCTGTGTGCAGTACCGTATAAGAAATACATAAGAATTTAGACAAAGTCATAAACATGAATGCAAAATTACTCGAGGTTACAAGACGTGAAATTACAATTTAGCGGCAGTAAGATGGATGTCTGTAGCAGAGGGTGGAAATGCCTCAGGCTGAAGCACAGTCCAGTTTAACTTGCTTGTTTTTATAATTTGCTGGAATGAAGACAAGTCAAGAGTGCAATGAAGAGTTGCAGACTCACAAGGTTCCGAGTAATTATGATTGGTCCAAAACACAGAGACAGCCCCAGGACCCGCTATTTAAAACATGAGGCTCAGCTCAGCTGTTATTAAAATTATAGATGCTGATTGGATGCCCATTTATTGGGAATACATATGGAGAAATTCCAAATTCTGCAGAATTGCTTTGATTTTCTGCTTCATTAACTCTATTTTTAATTGCAGCATCAACATCTCATTACAAAGACAAACTTTTAAAAAGTCCAGAGTTTTGTTTGGAATATTTGGCATGTGACGTTTTTTTCTGATTTGTTCCTTTTTACTTTATGAGCTAACCCACCAATTCACTTTTGCTCTGAGGTGGGGAAGTATTGTATGTATATATGCATATTTATAGGGCGGAGTTGGCTATTGTTATTGTTAGAGTTGATTAATTGTTCTATATTATGATACTGCTATGTTAAAAAAAAAGAAAAATTAAAAATCTTTTATACTTGGTTCATACTAGTGCAGCCTCTCATGCGGCTTGAAACACATAAAGTCGCATGACAAGTCAAAACTCGTTAATTTAATTGGCACTCGGTCCAATCTATGAGACTAAAGTCGCATCGTCTTTATAAAAGGTTCATGCATGACTTTCTTGAGAATTGAGTACCATAGAGTTTAAAAAAAGTCACATGAAAGTAGCACTGCAAAGTCACACAGGAAATTGCAGGACTTTGAAGTCACACTAGTGCAGGGGCAGACTGACAACTCATGGGGCCCCCAGACAATAGGGGATCATGGGGCCCCTGTGACCTCGCCCAAACTCAAACCACTCCCAAAAAAGCTTATGAAAGGTATCAGGGGCATCCCATGGGGCCCCCTTCTGACCTCGGGCCCTCGGGCACTGCCTGAGTGTCCGAATGGTCAGTCTGCCCCTGCACTAGCGTGAACTAGTGTGAACCTTTACTGCAGTAGGTAGATAGTGATAAAGTTGTTACTTGTAAATAGCTTCCGCATTTGTATATGGTGATTCCCTTGCATTTAAATTTTTTTAAGATTACCTTATATTTTAAAGAACAGTTCTACGCAATAAATGTTAATCAGTTAACCTAGCAAATGTGCAAATCAGAAAATTCACCAATTGTACCCTAATCTCATATTAATATAATAATAATTAATCGCAATTAATTTTTATTAATTAAATAATTATTAATAGTTAATCTCAGACTTTGACAAACCATCTAACATTTAACATCTGGCCAGTATGAGTGAAAATCCTGAATCCTGTGCCGTGTAACTTTATTTCTTTTATTTGCATCAATTATTGCATTCAGTCTTCTAAGGCAGATTTAAATCTGGTTACTGCCCATAAGAAAAGTTTTAGTACTGGTTCTTTACATCAGTATATATCAGAGTGTGATCCAGAATCCTCAGCAATTGTGTTCCAGGATCACCAGATTACAGACAAAAGAAAATGGACCAGGGCAGTACAGATGTATGGATACAATAATTACCTTGATTTGTTAGGCTAAGCTCCCTGGGCACAGTTTATGATATTTTGATCTTTGACTAAGTGTACCTTTAGCTATTGGCTACTGCAAAAGACTGGAATTATGATTATTCTCACCATTTATATTAAGGATCTTGAATAAAAAATCAAATAAAAAAAGTTCCACATAAGATCTCATTTTGTATAATAAAAAAAAACAATTGGGAAACTTTTGTTTGCATTTCCAAGACTAAAGCTCATTTTTTTTTCAGATTAAAACTAAATAGAGCCTTAAAGGGGATTAAAGTATTTGTTACCCTAACATTCCATTTTCCTGATATGTGTCTGTGTTTCCATATACTTTTATATCCTGTTCTCTTTTTTTTGCTTTCTTTGTGTGAAGTACCTGGTGGCCCTGCAAGTGTCTCTTCTTTCCC